ACCGGCCCGGGGCCCGGCAAAGGGATCGCACCCCTCGGTGTTGCTCCCGTGCCTCGCTCAGCCAGTGAGCGGGAACCGGTCCGTATGTGGGATCCGAACCCTCGGGTGGGAGCGCCGCCGCGCTTCCCAAGCGGCGCACTATCCAGTGCGCCACCGGGCCGGCCCTATATGTTTAAAATCTTAACATTTCTTAAAGTTTCCATAAAATCTTGAGAAGTAAAATCAGCACACTAAAAATATCAAATCTAAACTAAGAAAACAAGGGTACTTCCAAAAGTTCACGGAAAGACCTGTAATATCTCTCAATTCTATTTTTCTAAGAAGCTTTGGAAGTGCCCTACCATCTCTTTGAAAACTATATTTCCCTCTACTTAATCACTGAAATTACCTTGTACAGAGAGTCAACAAAAGCACATGCTAATCTGAAACGACCTCCTCTATGCTTACATGGCTATCACTGTACCCTAAAAAACATACACACGACCCACACAGCTAACGGCTCTTACCAGAGGAGTCAGGCTGGTTGGGTTTGGGATTTGGCCTTGGCTTGGGTGGATTCGGTGGTGCTGGGTCATCTGGAAAAAAAAATGCATTGCAGTGATGAGTGCTTTGCAGTAGAGAAAATGAAGCATCCACTTGCAAACAGATGGCTTACTAAACAGGAATTGGAGAGGGTCATTTGTACTGGTGGGGACACCCGTACAATCAACCACCTGCTAATGTCTTTCCCTCACCTTCCAGCTGCAGTACTTAACTTCAGGTGTTTCCAATAGAAACTAAAGCAGATACAGAATTTGCAAGACCCTGCCCAAAATGAAAATACAGGACCCGTTGTTCAAATGGTATTCGGCATTTCAAGATGGCAACCACAGAGCATTTAACCCAGGCTGGGGCCCCTTTTGAGTGTGGGGTGTGGTGCGAGAAGACAGTCACGTGCCCATGAAGCTGGCCCTGGTAAGGGAAGTCATATCCGCATCCTATCACTCCAAAGACACTAAGAATTTTAAAATAAAACTAAGCATGCTGGCAAAAACCAAAAACCCACCAATGACATCACTGTTCACCAAGTTTTCATTGTGAAATCCAGTGATCCATTGAAAGCGATAAGCCTCTTGGAAATGAAATGCTAACTGGTAGGAATAAGCAAGTTGCCAAAAAATAAAATATAAACAAGGTACTCACTGCTTCCGCCACCACCAAGGGCATCTTCTAAATGCAAGTCAGTGTCATCCCCTAAAGGAGAGAAACAGGTTGTTAATACCAAAGTCCTGAGTGAAATAAGGAAGGAAACAACCTCATAATCAAATGGAGGAAACACCGCACCCTACATCCCTAAATATTTCTCAAAATATTATTTTGACAAGAATCTCACTAGAAAAAGCAGATTCCTGACCATTTTCCCATCACTCTGCTCTCAGGTGAAAAGAATAAAGGACCAAAAATAAAATAAAATAAAATAAAAAGTATGAATCAATCATGTCTCCTGCACCACGCTGGAAATCCAACTCCACCTGCCGAAAATTCTATCCTGTTGTTTTCCCCTCCTACCATCAACCAGTGTTGTCTATGTGGTGGCATCAATTAAATACCTGGGGTACAGGGTCTCTTTGCTCATGAGCTGACATTATAAAGGAGAAGCTCAATAATTAAACAGAGCTATTAATTTACAAAAAAACAAACAAAACAAACAAAAGCCCCATCCTGTTTTCAGAGAAAATAATTTCTTCTTTCTTGTTTCCCTAATAGAAACATTTGCTTCTTACCAGCACTGGGCTTTTTGGGGGCTGTAGTGGGTTTTTTGTCTCCGTCACCTAAACAGAAAAGATATCTCAGTCAGTAAAGCTTGCAGCTGAGAAAAAGATTGCCCACTCTCTTATAATTTTAAAGATGTTTCATTTCCTTAAAAATAGGTGGAGGGCCAGCCCGGTGGCACACTGCTACAGTGCGCCGCTTGGGAGCGTGGAGGCGCTCCCGCCGAGGGTTCGGATCCCACATACAGACCGGTTCCCGCTCACTGGCTGAGCGAGGCGTGGGAGCAACACCAAGGGTTGTGATCCCGTTGCTGGTCCCAGTCCGGTACGGGGGTGACACTGAGGGTTGCGATCTGTTGCCGAACACGAAAAAAGACAAAAAAAAAAAAAAAATAGGTGGAGAATGTTCTGGGCATTGTTTTTCCTCACCAGCACAGACAGTGGCCAAGTCTAAGAAGACGTTTCATGATCCCAGTGGGAGTCATGTCAGCTGTTGCTGCTGACCAGGGTTTTCACTAAGACCAATAGCCGCTTCCCCAATGTTGATGTCAGATGGGGTGTGTGAGTGAAAGACAGTCCAGGAAGCCAGAAGAATGGGAACTTAGCAAAAGGTCTAAGCTTGGAGAGCCCGAGATCTGTGCACTGAAATGCTCTTCATGAGGCATAACATGCTGCTTGCACCCCAAGACCCCCACCCAAGCTCCCCATCTGGGAACAAAATCAGAGCAGGCTGAGGTTGTAAGAACCAAGAATGCCTCCTGGTGCAGGAAGCACCCGTTCGTACCAGCCAAGAAGGGGTAGACCATCAGGAAAAAGGCGACCCTCTTAGCAAGATTTCAGCTCAGACCTTTAGCATTAGACCACAGAAAGTTATAAAAAAAATTTAAAAAAATTAAGAGGTGAGTCCTGGGTTGAAAAGTGTCTGTCCAAAATTCACATCCATCTGGAAATTTGCTAGGAGACCTTATCTGGAAAGAGGGTCTCTGCAGATGTAACTGATTAAGGTGAGGTTATAGTGACTTAGGATGAGCTCTGATCCAATGACAAGTGTCCTCATAAGAGACAGAAGAGGAGACTCAGACATACAGGAGAGGCCACCTGAAGATGGAGGCAGAGACTGAGTGATGCGGCCACAAGCCCAGGGATGCCTGGAGCCACCAGGAGCTGGAAGAGGCAGGAAGGATCCTCCCCTGGAGCCTCTGGAGGGAGCACGGCCCTGCCACACCTGGATCTCAGACTTCTGGTTTCCACAATTGGGAGAGAATAAAATTCTGCTATTTAAGCCACCATGTTTATGATACTTTATGGCAGCCCCAGGAAACAAATTCAAGGAGATGGCAAGATCTAGAACTAAACAGTGATGAGGGGTTCCCAGCAGGGATGTGCCCCTTCCCCAAGCACCTGCTGACACACGTGGCATTCGACCACTACAAGAGTATGAATTATTCCACCAGGGAAGGCTTATTTACCCTAAGAAGGGTATCATTGATTTTCCTCATCCTGTATTCACATAATTATCACAATAATGCATTTGTTAAATTATCTACAGAATATTTTAAAATATTACTGCTACTCACCGTCAAGAGCATCATGTAAGTCAAAATCTTGGCCTAAGAGAAAAAAGAGTCAAATGAGAAATAAGCAAATGAAAGTCAATTTGAAAATTAGGAAGATAAAAATGGTGTGATTTTTTTTTTTTTCTGATTTTGTGATATTCGTGATGGTAAAACAGCAGCTTCTGGTTATCTCAGCTGGTTAGAGCGCAGACTTCTAACGCCAAGGTCATGGGTTCACATCCCCTTACCGGCCAGCCACCAAGAGAACAAGCAAAAAAATGTATAACGCGTTGTGATTTCTCTCATTCTAAATATTCACTTTCGCACCTGAAAGTAAGACTATGTTAGCGTATGTTTAAAATCACTGATAACCTTGGAGTTTGCAGAATTGAAGATAGTGGGAAAACATGATAAGTTTGCAGGTACATAATTCCTAAAAAAGTAGGTCCTTTGAAACACTTGATTAAAAATTTCTAATACATATAGTAAAAAACATGGCGAGCAGAGTCTTCCCTTTTAGGAGCAACTTTTCTGTAGTCAAAAACCAAAATATACTTCTTATAGAAACACCAGACCACCCAGCAAACTCAAGCAATTTTTATTTATTTTGTTTATTTATTTATTCCCTGTCAGCATGTTCACTGTTACAAATCATACTGATTTTTCATGTCCCTTGTCCAATCTCTCTCCCTCCCTTTCCACCTCCCCGTCTCCCCTCTAGATTTGTTCTCTCCATCTGATAGATTAACTATTCCTCTGTTAGTGTGTTCCCTACATGATCTGTCCACACAATTTCTTTTTTAAAAAATCTCGTGCAATCCCACAGAATGAGGAAACTGCCGTTGTTCTGTTGACCTTTTCTATCTTGTCTTACTTCTATTTATTAAAATATTTCCAATACAAATTCCCTGTGGCCATCTCTAGTGAACGGAAGAAAAGCAAAATCCAGAACATTCTGGAAAAGTCTGCTGGAGAGCACGGTGGGTCAGGAAGGTTCCAGCCTGGAGTCTCTGCTCCTCAGACCAGAGGGCGCATGGCACCCCTCAGGTCCCAGCCTGGATTCTCTGCTCCTCAGACCAGAGGGCGCACGGCACCCCTCAGGTCCCAGCCTGGATTCTCTGCTCCTCAGACCAGAGGGCGCATGGCACCCCTCAGGTCCCAGCCTGGATTCTCTGCTCCTCAGACCAGAGGGCGCACGGCACCCCTCTGGTCCCAGAGGGGCTGCACGGTTAAGGTCCACAGACATCCCACAGGCTCAAGCAAATCTGTTCAACTCTACGGGGTGTCTGACAAACTGGCTGTAGTCTACACTTGTGTATTTGGCTGTGTGTATAGGTGTGTGCTTCAGGGTATGTGTGTAGTTAGTGAATATGTGTATGTGCATGTGTGTGTGTGTTTCAGTGTGTGTGTGAGTGTGTTCTGGCATTTCTATTTGGGCATGGATAGCTCTGTATAGGTTTGCTTTGTGTGTGTACCAGTGTCTAGCTGTGTGTGAGTGTACTTTGTGTATGTGCATATGTGTAAGTGTGGGGTGTGATTTATGTGTGCATATGTGTAGGCATGCACATTGTGGCTTTGTGTGTGTGTTTGGTTTGTGTGTGTGTGCCTATGTGTCGGTGCGTATGTGTGGGTTTGTGTGTATGCCTAAGTGTGTTGTGTGTGCATATGTGTAGGTTTATATGGGTATGGTTTTGTGTGTGCATATGTGTAGGCATGTGTATGTGTGGATTTGTGTGAATATGGGCACGTACATATATATATGGGTTTCTATGTGAGTGTATGCATAGGTGTATGGTATGTATGTGTAGGCATGTGTACGTGTGGGTTTGTGTGTGTGCGTGCATACATGTAGCTGTGTGGGTGTGGTTTATGTGTGTGCATATGTGTAGGTACATGCATGTATGGGTTTCTACGTGTGTATGTGTAGATATGTGGTGTGTGTATGTGAGTAGGCATGTGTACATGTGGATTTGTATATGTGTGTGGGTTTGCATATGTGAGGTGTTTACGAGTGTGGTTTGTGTGTACATATGTGTGTAGGTACATGCATGTATGGGTTTCTATGTGTGTATGTGTAGGTGTGTGGTGTGTGTATGTGTGTAGGCATGTGTACATGTAGACTTGTATATGTGTGTAGGTGTGGTGTGGGTGTGCATGTGTGAGGTGTGTATGAGTGTGGTTTCTGTGTGTACATATGTGTGTAGGTACATGCATGTATGGGTTTCTACGTGTGTATGTGTAGATATATGGTGTGTGTATGTGTGTAGGCATGTGTACATGTGGATTTGTATATGTGTGTAGGTGTGGTGTGGGTGTGCGTGTGTGAGGTGTGTATGAGTGTGGTTTCTGTGTGTACATATGTGTGTAGGTACATGCATGTATGGGTTTCTACGTGTGTATGTGTAGGTGTGTGGTGTGTGTATGTGTGTAGGCATGTGTACATGTTGACTTGTATATGTGTGTAGGTGTGGTGGGGTGCATATGTGGGGTGTGTATGAGTGTGGTTTCTGTGTATACATATGTGTAGGTACATGCATGTGTGGGTTTCTGTGTGTGTATGTGTAGATGTGTGGTGTGTGTATGTGTGTAGGCATGTGTACATGTAGACTTGTATATGTGTGTAGGTGTGGTGGTGTGCATGTGTGAGGTGTGTATGAGTGTGGTTTCTGTGTGTGCATATGTGTAGGTACATGCATGTATGGGTTTCTATGTGTGTATGTGTAGGTGTGTGGTGTGTGTATGTGTGTAGGCATGTGTACATGTGGATTTGTATATGTGTGTAGGTGTGGTGTGGGTGTGCATATGTGAGGTGTGTATGAGTGTGGTTTCTGTGTGTACATATGTGTAGGTACATGCATGTGTGGGTTTCTGTGTGTGTTGAGAGAGGCAGGCAGTAGAAGACACAGCCTTTTGGGGCCTATGCCAGCAACCGCAGTGGGTTATTTTCACCACCTCAGAGCTATGAACCAACTGTTTCTACACCCGCACAGATGCCAGACGAAACAAACACAGTCACACTCTTCCCGCGGCACGTGGCAGCATTTCATGAGGTAGGGAGTGTGGATATTCGTGGTCCTGAATAGCCAGTTCGGCTGTGCGTGCGTTGTTATTATCCATAGTCACCATGGTGTGCAATGGGTCTCCTGAACTTACTCTTCCTGTCTGACCGAAACTGGGTATCCTTTGACCAACATCCCCTCAAACCCACCTCCACCCCCAGCACTGGTACCCATCATTTTACTCTCTGCTTCTATGAGTCCAACTTTCCTGGGTTCCACGTATGAGGGAGACCATGCGGTATTCATTTTGCTGTGCCTGGCTGACTTCGCTTAGCATAACATCCTCCAGGCTCATCCCCGTTGTTGCAAATAACAGGATTTCCTTATTTTTTAAGTCTGAATAGTGGTCCACTGTGTACGTATACCCCATGGTCTTCATCCTTTCATCCGTCAAGAAACACTTGGGTTGATTCCATATCCTGACTATTGAGAATAATTCTGCAATAAACACGACAGTGCAGATACTTTTCAATTCACCGATTTAATATCCTTTGGATATACGAAGGTCCTTTGCAAAGTTTGTGGAAAGACTGTATTATCTTTTAATGCCACTTTTCCATAAACTTTTTGCAGTGCCCTCCTGTACACAGTAGAACCAGAAGTGACAGGGCTAGGAGCTTTCTCAAACGTTCACCTTCACTAGCCTCAGAAATGAGTTATAAATTCTCGGGGCATGTCTGATAAGTTTTGGCAAGTCCCCCAGTGCAAACCGATTCCAAGAGCAGATATTGTGGTTTTTAGGGTAAAACAGAAACTGAGAAATAATCAGAGAGGACCTTCAAAATGCCTACAGCATTTTGAAAAGCAGCAATGAAAAACGCCACAAACTTGAAAGCAAAATTTCCCCCACGTAAAGAGAAGATGGTTACCAAGACAGAATCACCAAGGAAACGAAACGAAACAAAACAAAAATGCTTTCGAGTGACTCACCAGTCTCAAGCTTCAGGAAACCCTCAGAAAAACAGTAGTCAAGGGAGTAAGAGAAACATTTTCCAGAAGGTTTCCAAGACAAGGGTCTTGTCTCCTTTTCTGACTCTGGGAGCCTGCATCCCTTTCCACTCGTGGTGAACCCCAACAGGACACTGGGTGTGAAAAGGCAGCTCCCAGCCCCCAGGGGACCCACCCCTGCCCCTCCTCTGACATGGTTGGACCACAGTAGCAAAGGCAGGACCTCTCCTCCCAGGCAACTGCCCTGGGCCCCCTTTCCCTTCTCTCTCCAGCTCCTCTCCACTTGCCTGATACAGAACGTGCAGTCCAGCGCAGGACTGATGTGTATTTCCACACATCAGGTGCAGAATCCCAGGGCACAGGTAAAACAGTGTATGTGCGTGATCTCCATCAGATGGGAAACACTGGTGGGCAGCACATGTTCTTCTCCAAGCACACCCCCCTGGCTTGCTGAGCTCTTGCATCCATCTACCTGGACCCCGGGAAGGGGGTGTCTTTGCCCACTCAGGTGCTTCCACCATCCCCAACGCCCCAACCCCCTTCAGCTGTGGGTCAGTAGTTTTCTAGGCAGCCCTGGGCTTCATCAGCTTTTCCTGTGCTCTTTGGATTCCAGCCACAAAATGTGGCTGGAGTGGATTTTTCCAGTGCAGTGACTGTGTGACTGTGTACATATGATTGTGTGTATGTGCATGCATGTGTGTGTGCATATGAGTGTGCATCAGTGTGATGCAGTCCATCTGTTTGTGTGCTTGCATGTGTGCATGCATGCACATGTGGGGGGGTGCGTGCATATGTGTGTGGATGTATTGTTCATGTAGGTGTACATGTGTGCATGTTTTGTGCATGCACATGTGTGCATTTAGGTGTACATGTGTGTGCTTGTGCTCATGTGTTTTCATATGTGTGTGTGCATGTGCCATGTGGACTTATGTGCACGTGTGTGAGTGTACATGTGCACACATGTCTGTGCATCTCTGTTGCAAAAGTGTGTGTATGCATGTGTGTGTACGTATGTGTGCACAAGCAGGCATGCATGCATGTGCCTGTGTGCACTGCATGTGTGTGCATGTGCATATGCATGTGCATGTGTGTGCATTTTGTTGTGTATTTGCATGGGTGTATATATGCATATGCAAGCTTATGTGCACATACACCTGTCTGTGCATGTCCACTGCATGTATGTGTGCACATGTGCATGTGTGTGCATGTTTCGTGCATTTGCATGAGTGTGCATATGCATATGCAAGCTTACATGCACATATTTGTGACTGTGCATGTGTGTATGCATGCATGCACATGTCTGTGCATGTCCACTGCACATCTGTGTATGTGTGTTGCATGTGTGCTTGCATGTGTGTGTGTGCATGCATATGTGTGCATCCATGTGTGTCTGCATCCATGTGTGTCTGCTTGATAATACCACGTCCAGGGCCTCCCATTCTCCTGCATATCACCACACCCACCCTCCTGTCCCACATGACTTCCCATCACAGTTGCAGCTGCTGACCTGGGACCCAGTCACTCTGAGAAACTATTACTGTCCAGCCCACATGACCTTGCAGGTGGAGGAGGCCACAGCTCACCTTCATGTCCTTTCAGCCAATCCCTGTGAGACAAACCGAGTCACAGGGGAGGGACACAGACAGTCCAGCCATCCACATGACCCTCCACCTGGCCCTGGGCTGCTGCTGTCACCCACAGTTCATCTGTCCCCTGCTGCAGGGCCACAGCAAATGTTACCATCTGGTCCCCACAACGAACCCCAGAGCCTAATGTTCTCCTGCCAAGGGGAGTTCAAGCCCAGCCTGAGAATGGAAGAGAAAGGGAGGGATGTGCCCCTCACAGCCCCTCCCGCTCACCCACCCTCCACCTGTCCTGGAGACCGCCCACCCTCTGCAGCAGGCACTTGTCTTCCGGCCTTGGCCTCTGGGCTGGCTTCACTCTAGGGTCTCTGTGGGGTGAGGACACCATCAAAGAGCTGTGACCATCTCACCTTGGGCCCACAACTTCAGTTTCCATGATTCAAGGCTCTCCCCATCTCCCCCCACCCCTAAAAATCCTCCTTCCCAGACACAAAGGCCTACCCTCACAAAATCCAGATGACTAATACTTGGGACTGCTCCCCAATCACTGCCCCATACAAACGAGAAGGAAAGGCGAGGTGGCCGGCTCTGCCTTCCATGCAGAACTAGACGCCCTTCATTCATTCATAATCAGGCGTGAATCCCTGGCAGTTTCCCGTGTGGCAGAAACCTCTGCAAAGTGTCCAGGTGCGTGCAAATGGATGCAAATGTATCATGTTGTGGCTGAAACCCCATAAAAAACCATCAGAAAACACAATCAATGATCATGGCAGTCAGTCATCCCCCCGCACAAACCACTCATCCGTCCAAACACCAGGACTCTTCTTCCAGTTCACCACACTCAAAGCAAGTATCTTTCAGTCCCTGAGGTGGCAGGCAGTGCGCTCCCAGCAAAACCTCCCCATAGTGCCCTATGGGGTCTGCAAATGCCTAGAAAATACCACCAGAACCCGCACAGCAGGGGCTGCAGCCAGGCCCACGGGGAGAAAGAACCTGCTGGGGCACGTGGAGCCCACATCAAGCACTCAAGACATTCAGCTTCTTTGTAAACCTGCAAAGAGACCACGCCCTGAGCAGCGGCCTCCAGCACCTCTGCGGGCCCCCCAGAGCTCCGGATGCTTCAGGGACAGGATGACTCAGGTGGGTGAGGCAGAGGCAGACGGAAGGATGGCATGGGTCAGTCGCCCCGAGACACTCCCTTCTCATTCAAACAGCCTTTTCTCTTCTGCACATGAATGAGGCAAGTTGAAAAACAGGATAAGCCAGCGTGTAAAGTCCTTAAGAGCACATGGGGCATTTGCGCTCCTCAGAGAAACATGAATGGAGCTTCAGCCGTGTTCCAAATGCCCTAAACTGAGACACGTGATCAGCAAGAGCCAGAATTTGGTTTCTCCTCAATCCAGTCATAATGCCACAGAGGCATTTCACTAAGATATAAAAATGAGGCCTCAGACTTTTGGATTTCCACAATAAAAGTAACATAAGAATAGCATAGTGGCATAAAAACAGTAGCCTGGGATGTAATTTACTGACTGTTTTCTATATGCCTGGAGCTCTCTAGAAAATAAAATTGATGTCCTCGACACTCCATTAAGCACGGGGGAAACAGAGACCCCCCACTCACCTCCACGCCCCTGCTGGTTAATGGCAAAGCCGTGACTCAGCCAACCCGGCCACACTCCGGGAGCTCACACCTGCTCACGTCTAAGATGCCGCATCTCCTCCTGCAGTTTTTCCAAGCCCCATTACAAACATAAAGATTCAGGACACCCTACCAAAGGACGAGAAGGACATTCAGTGGGCACCTCTGCGCCCAGTGCCCAATGTTTACTGAAGTTTTTGGCAGGCGGTGGGTAGCAGTCCCATGTCCTGCCTGGAAGCCTATCATTCTAGGTTTGTGGGGGCTTTCAGAGGGGTCCCCAACATACGGATAATTTGTAGTACAAAGAAAGCCCAGGGCCCTGACAGAGAAAATGCGCCCATCAGATCCTTGATGGATGGACGGCAGGTGCAGGTGGGGCCTGCAGCTCTCCAGGTGTGGAGGACACCCGGGAAAGAGGTCAGAGTAGTCGTTGATTTGTTTCATTCTATTATTTTATATAAGTATTTGAAACACCCTTATTTTTCCACGACGAAAAATGAATTTCTTTGGAAAAACATTTCCCTTTTTTCAAGAGGTGTCATTTAACAGTGGGGAGATGTTGGTCAAAGGATACACTATTTCAGGAAGTGTTAGATCAGGAGAGCTGTCTTACAACGTGGTGAGTGTGGTCAATGACAGTATAATGCGTCCTTGAAAACCTCTAAGAGAGTAGAGAGTGCTGTCACCACACACACACACACACAAAATTAAGAATGTGAAGTCATGCACATTTTTTTTTTCCTTTTTGTCTTTTTTCGTGTCCGGCAACGGAATCGCAACCCTCGGTGTCACGCCCGTACCTCACTCAGCCAGTGAGCAGGAACCGGTCTGTATGTGGGATCCGAACCCTCGGCGGGAGCACTGCCGCACTCCCAAGCAGCGCACTGTAGCAGTGCGCCACCGGGCCGGCCCAGTCATGCACATTTTAATGAGTTCACTTTAGCTATTCCCCAATGTATATGTGCACCAAAACATCATGTTGTACACCATAAATATACACAATTTTTATTTGTCGATAAAAAAATTAATAATTAAAAAAAAAACCCTCATAGATCTTTAGTGTCATAAAGGTTTCAGAAATACATTTGGTCCCGGATCCAGCTTCCTATAAATAAGTGAATCTGTGTCAACTGCTGAATATTTTGGTGCAGAAAACACGGTTTGTTTGATTACAGATAAGTGCAATGAAGCCCCAGCTAACAGAAGATCCTACACATTGCACTTAACTGCCGAAGCCAATACAATCTGTCAACCCCATGAGTAGTAGCATAAATAGCTATAAAGTTAGGGGGCCGAAGGCGCTGGTCCCTCGGGACATTCTTTTGCCAGTCATCATGGACAAGATCGGACTTCACGGTGATAGCAACAGCTAAATTTGACTCCGACTTTTTAGTTTTAAAATTACATGCAGGTGATTAGACTCATGCTTTTCTGATATAGCTCATGCTATGGTAACATCTTGGTTTTGTCCTAACTGGGACGGTGACATTTGGTAACTGGTTCTTTTATGTAATTTTATAATACGTTTGGTGACAGGGGAGGGACTGTCTTTTTTCCTTGTGCCATAACTCTGGGCTACGCCAAGTTTTGGAAGAGCCTGGAGAATCCAGTGAATGCATCTGCTGGACTTGGCATGCCTTACGCCAGGTTCTCAGAATCACGCTCTGGGTCTCATGGAAACACAGATTCCATACTGGACCTCACCCTCGAAGACTGATTGTGCGGTTTGGAGCTGGGTGTGGAATCCTGCATTTTTAACAAGCTCCTGGGGATGCTTGAGAACCTCATGCCCAAGAGTCCCTGCTCTCTGTCCCCCTACCCCCTCCTGACTGCAGATGCTGGTTCCAGGACCTCAATCCTAAGGGAAACCAAGTCATTACCCATGACCCTAAGGTTAAGTGCAAGCACCGGAACCTGACTCAGCAGCCCCAGCCCCAATTCTAACTTCATCTTTCTCAGTCACGCTCCCCAATCCAGCTCCCTCCAGACTGGTGACTGCACTGCAGATCTGGGCTGGCTGGAAATAACCCATCACACGGTCTGAAACATTGTCAATTCAGGAAGCCCGGTGTGTCTCCATGAAATAATGCTGAGCTCAAACAAAACAAAACAAAACAAAACAACACACACACTTAACAGTTCCATTTGTTCATTATAGTCTCGTTATTTGAAGTAGTTATGGTCTAAAAACTATCCATGAATGCTGAATTAGTGAATACGGAACTATTTGCTGCATCCAAGAAAAATACAGCGTCAGGTTCCTGCAAGTATTTTCATCAGCTAATCAATACACGACCTTGTTTTATGTGTGTTTCTGTGTAAAGACACCTTATTGAACAGATACTGGTGACATTCCCATGGAACTCACGGCCAGCAGTGCTGCCACTCATGCCTGAAGGAAGCTTCTCTAACACACACGTTTTTTCTGTAAGGCACGTCAGAGCCTCCTCGCACTTAGGGACACGAGACAGCGCTGCAGCACTGTTCTTGGGAACATTTCAAACTCCAAAATCACCAAAAGAAAGCACAGACATGCGAAAACATGGCACCCAATAGACCATGAAGACAACACTGTTCACAGTGCAAGAGCTGAAACAAGAAGACAGAAGGTCGCCTGTTCAACCTGAGCCGGGAACATGCGCAACAGGGCAGCGACGTTTCTTGCCATTCTGTGCCTGTCTGGGGACGCTGAGAG